TAAAAAAAAAAAATGGTAAAATGTGAAAGTCAAATTATAGATTACCATTAGTAAATTATACAAAATAAAATAGCACAATATGGAAGAAAACCTCACAAGTGTATTTGTAATTTATCCAAAATCAAAATATTTATGTTTCATAACTAACCAAGAATCCATAAATAATTACGAAAAAACTTTCATCCAAATTAATACTACCAATATTGGTAAATAATACAAAGTAAAAGGCAAAATAGGAAAACTACAATGCAAGCCTCTATAGTAAATAATTCCAAACCCAAGGACAAAATTAGGAAAAAAAAATATGAGCCTTAAGCACGTAAGCACTTCTTATATATATATTGAATAATAATTGGGACCCCCTTTTGGGGGTCATCCCCTCACCCCCCTTTGCCACGTGGCGGGTAGTGATTGGAGGAGCAGGAAAAAAAAGAAAAAGAAAAAGAAAAAGTAACCAATGAGAGAGAGAGGGGGTCAAAGGGGGTGGGGGGAAAAAGGGGGATGAATCATTGTTGATAGATATATACCAGACTTCATCTGTGAGCTCAAATTTTGATCTAGTGATATGCTTTTAGTGCAGTAGGGCTTAGAATCCCTAATTGGGAAATTTAGCTTAAACCCCTTCATTAGACCCTTATTTGGTGAAAATGACAACTTAATTTATTTTGCTTCATAAGTTTTCTAAGGAGTAGGTGCAGAATTGAGTAAAGACAAAGTAAATATTTTTTTTTTCTTGGACAATATTCTCATAGTAACATGTTACTGTGAAACTATGAAACAAAATAGCATGTTACTGTCAAACAGAATGACACAATTTACATCAATTTCGACGCTAATAATAATAATAATAATTTTTTTTTAAAGAATTTCAAAGTCACTATGAATTTTATTTTATAAATCATGATGAGAGAATTCGAAAAATACTAATTTTATTAAAATTAGACCTCTAGATCAAAAATTATATTATTTTAAAGTTTAATATTTTGATAATAGTGGTATGTGTTAGATTTTTTAAGGAAATTTTTTTGTACTTATCCTTACTACGGGGGTTGTTTGGGATGAACTATATAAGTGCGCTTTTTGGATAAAAAAGTAGAGGAAAAAAAAGATGATTATTTGGGAAAACTTTTTGACTTTTTACAAAAAAATGTGTATTAAAATATTGTATAAAGTAACAAAATTACCGTATTACTCCTATGCCCTATGCGTAGTGACAGTGACTATTGACGGAACCGGTACGGATTGCTTTGAATTGTGTGGTGGGGGTAGACATGCTTCAAATTATATATATAGGATGAGGCTTCCCTCTAGTCCTTCATCGGAATAGTTGGGCCTATGGGGGCCCACCGCGGGTCACATTTCGATAATTCAAACTGATCAATGTGTAGAACTCGTTGAGTATTATATGCCTGCAAAAAATCATGTTGATTGGATATCGATAGCTATGTGATAAAATCAGTTTTGTATAAAAAAAAAAAAAAATGGACGGTGAAAAATAAATGGCTAACAAAAATCTGATTTGATCACATAGCTATCGATATCCGATCAACGTGATTTTTTATAAGCATATGGTACTCGATGAGTTCTACACATTGAACAGTTCGGATTATCAAAACGGAATCTATGGTGGGCCCCCAAGGGCCCAACAATACCCTTCAGTCCTTTTTTGGACTATAAGGAAGTCTCATCTATACTGCACTACACAGTTGAGAGTACTTGGCTTGTGTATAGTACAAGTTCATTGTTGTATTTGGCTAGTGTACTCTTTTTTTTTTGTATTTTTTTAGTTAATAGTGATAACTTTTTGACTTTTTTAGTAACTTTTTGTCTTTTATAGACTATCCCAAACAAGCAATACATTAAAGTTTTATTATGAAGGGGCTTTGACCAAATCCCCCTTCATAATTTTGTACCAAGAATTGAAGTGTGTGGTGGAGATTGAAGAGGAAATATCATTTTGCCTATCAAATTATCACTCAAAAATTAATTCAACCCTTATTCTTTTAATAATATTAAATTTACACATAAACTATTTGATTTTAGATTAATTTTACTTTCAGCGTTAACTGTTGTTTATAATCAAACGGAAGATAGTGACGCGGCACTAAAATTTCGTTTGAATTTTAACTCCAAAACTATCTCCAAAATAACAATTTGACCCCCAAACTCTATTTTATTCAAGAGTCTAATTGATATTTTCGGGATAGTTTGAGAGGCAAAATAAAATTTTAAATGAAGTTTAAGTGTCACGTCAGTAAATTTTGTTTGATTATAAATGACAATTGACGGTAGGGATAAAATTGATGTAAAATTGAATAGTTTAAGTATAAAAATGATATTATTAAAAAGATATGAGTTGAATTGATTTTTGGGTGATCGTTTGGAGGACAAATATTTTCTTGAGATTGAATGGATGTTTTGTGGAGTCCATAGGTAGAATGAATTTAGACCATATATTGATAATTTTTTTAGTAATTTCCTGGGCAAAATTTCTGACTTTATAATATTACTAGTAGAAAGAGACTACGTGAGTAGAAATTTAGCAAAGCTACAGACCTAGAAAAAATACTCATAATTGAATTGCGTGGATCAAATTTATTATTGATATGGCCCAGAACATATCTAGTAGGTACGAAATACTATCATTGTGTTTGGTTTATGATTTGGAAAGAAAAAGAAAAACAAAGAAAAGAAATTTGTTTATATTTCATTCGCATTTTTCTTACATTTGTTATTTTCATTTCTAATTTTTTACCCAAATCCATGATCTAAACACAACTTACGTGTCTATGTGTCCATCCAATAATAATTTATAGTTTGTCAATTATTTTCTTATTTTTAGGATTAGGTATTCATTTAGTTCCTAAAAATCATACAAATACACCCCTTTAAAGGGGGTTTGCAGGAGGTAAAAATGATGCATTTTTATAATTGAAGGAGTCAAAATATACGAATTCATAAATGAGGGAAATAAAATAATATTCGCTAATAGTTGAAAGAATCTTAATGTAAATAACCCAAATCACTTTAATAGAATCTTTATATATACTAGTATTAATAAAGTTGAGTATGGGAAACACTATGGTATACAACCCTTCAAAGTGTGTGCACTAGATACGCTGGTTACATATTTTTGTTGTAAATGTTTGGTGCAGAAGTTTAAGTCTAAAGGAAACCATGTCAAGTTATGGGAGTTGGTACTTTGCTAACTCAGTTATTTGATTGCTATCCAAAGTTGAGGGTGCCAATTAGGACTACAAATAAATCAAACTGTTCACGAACAGGCTTGGTTCAGCTCGTTAAAGACTCAGCTCAGCTTGGCTCATTTAGTCGAGCTCGAATATTAGGCTAGTTTAGTAAACGAGCCGAGCTCAAGTTCGAATAAGTTCAGCTCATCAAGTTCAGCTCGTTTACCTTTACTTAAATTATATAATAAATATATTATTTATATATTAAATAATGTAAATAATATTTTTTATTCAAATAATATAAATAACATTAAAAAAATCTAATCAAGCCGAGCCAAGTCGAGCCGAATCAAACTCGAGTTTCATTAATATTAACGAGTCGAGTCGAGCCGAGCCGAGCTTGAGCCCCAATCCAGTTAGTTATCAAGCGAGCACAAGTTCAATAAACAAGTTTGATAAGCAAACGAGCCGAGTTCGACCTCGGTTCGTTTGCAGCCTTATTGCCAATCTGGTTGGAATGCTCTATACTTGAGATGGTTGCCATCATCATGTTGTTTTGACTGTGTTTTCGAGTATTATTAATAAAATTCCTTTTTGCTTTTGCTGATAAAAAAAAATGTTATGTATTTTTATGATAAATGTTACATATTTTTCTGGTAAAAATTATGACAATTTGTAGTTCAGAAATGAAATCAAGCATTTTCTGGTAGTGTTATTTTCTAGACCCAATGATATGTAAGTGATATGATTGGTTGATGATTGAGAAAATACAAAAGAGAGTGTTATCTTAAATGTCCTAATTGATATGTAAGTGATATGATTGACTGATAATTGAAAAGATACAAGAGAGAGTGTAAACTAAAAACACAGAATATGCAGCAGATAAAATTTTCAGATCATACCTTCTTGATGATAGAACCTTCTTGGATAAATCACGTGCTTCCAGAAAACTGATAAATCAACCCAGCAGTGGAGTGATATCACAGATTGAATATCACCCACACAAAATCACAGTGCAAAGACTTGATCGTTGTGTTTTTTTTTGGGAGAGAGTCAGTATATGGGTAGAAACAGACTATACGTTGTTTCTCACTTGGATTACCCATAACCATATATCAGATATATAATATATTATAATATCTATCCATATATCAGATGTTAAAACTGATAACATCTGTATCTTGAGTGGTTATCCTAAATAGGTTTGAATTCAAATTCAAAACCTATTTGGATAATGATCAAATTTAAATTTAAATGGTCATGCCACATGGGCGCCCATTACTAACAGAGAGTGTTATCTTAAATGTCCTAATTAATTGTCACGTTATCAAATTTGAATATTAGGTCTAATTTTTTGACTTATATAGCAATGCCCTAATATATACTTCCAATTATTAGTACTGAAGCAATGGTTCTCTCTCTCTCTTAACAATAATGATATATCCCTCTAAAACTAAAACTTTAATTGAACTCTAGTGAGGTGGAAAAAAAAAATAAATACACACAGTTAAAATATCACATTAAAACTATTAAAACTCACAAATTAAAGCTCTGGTCTAAGAATGAAGCAATAGTTCTCTCTCTCTCCAATTAGTCATTTTGAAGTAGCAAGGAGACCTCCTTCCTTAGTCTTCATCAAACACGTACGATTTCCATCAAAATCTTAATCATTGTGCTCCAAATTCATGAATGTGAATGCATGGCTTTTGAGAAAGGTCTCCATTAGGACAGGCTCATCTCCTTTTGAGAAAGGGAGACCAATTGAAGAGTCTTAAGCCTCATCTCCTTTTCTACCACCTGACCCCACCATTTTCTCTGTATAACCTTCCATGTCAAGTCTTCGGTTACAAGTAACAAAGTCCTCAACCTATTCATTCCTTTGATATTTCAGTGTCATTCAACACTACTACTACTACTACTACTACTACTTCCATTCCGTCTCATCTCATCTTTATTTTCTCATCTTCATCCATCACTTTGATCCCAAATCTTTCTTCTATTTTGTTTTTGGTCTTGAGAATTTGTTCTTGATCATGGATGCTGATGAGGTAGTCATGCTCAAGCAAGATGGTTCAAATTATCCCAACTGGTCACACTTTATGAGCCAGCACATGATCCAAACACGCAGACAACTTTGGGACTATGTTTGCGGCATTGTAACAGAGCCCAATCCAGGCCATGAAAACTTCACAAGTCTCTCTCAACAATGGAAAACTAAGAATGCAGAGATCTTGAACATGATCTGTACATATGTACTCAATCCTTCAGTTTCAATTCAATTACGGAGCTTCAAATCAGGCAAAGAGGCTTGGGACTACTTGGCTGAGCTATATGGTCACTCCAATTTTGCCAAAAAGTATCAATTGGAGACTCAGATTAGAGCAACCAAACAAGGAGATAGAACAATCAAGGAGTTACATGGTGTGATGGTTGGTTTGTGGAATCAACAAGCCAAGCTTGAGGATAGAGATTTGAGTTTGCTAAGCAGTTACAAAAAGAATCAAGATGAACAACGTCTTGTGCAGTTTCTTATTGCTTTGAGAGATGAATTTGAGCCGATTAGAAAGTCTATACTGTGTCGATTATTTCTACCGAGTGTTGAGAAAGCTGTTAGGGAGTTGGAAGAAGAGGAGATGAGGCTTAAGCCTTCAATTGTCTCTGAATTTTCCAATCTCTCCATCAAAACAGAAGACAGTTTTCAGATAGGAAAAGTCAAGTATGATTATAGTGGTGGATTTGATCAGTCACACAAATTCAACAAGCCATCTTCATCTCGGGATAGGTCTGCTATGTATTCTTCTTCTTCAGTGACAGAAACTAATGATTGGCCTTCTTTCCTGGGAGGTTTGGCCAAAGTTGCCATTGCATCATTTGCTGCAGTACAGGCTTCTCGGACACTGTATAATTACTATACTGAACCTGGTTCGCTCCCTTTCATCATCAATTTTCTCATTTCGTCTGGGTTCCTTCTGATTTTTAGTATATTTTATGGCATGATCTGAGTTGAATTTATTTATGTATTTTTGTCAAAATATAGTAAACTCCATGAAGTTTGGATTACAGGTAACTCCGTAGTTTGGACATAATTACATTGGTCGCCTCTAAATAATTCGTTAGTCATATGAATAAAAAAGAAAAAAGGAAAGAAAAAAAAAGAAGAAAATAAATGCCACCTTTTTTTTTTTACGAACATGTTTATTTGTCTTATTCACCATCTGCATTAGTTAAAACGGGAGGTTTGTGTAGTTATGATAAAAGTGTTAGACTAATATAATATTTTATTTTCATATCTTTGGAGAGGTGAATGTAATTTACCCAATTTTTTAAATCATGATTTGAAGTGATTGTTCTTCTATTATTACTCGTGTGCCTGGATAAACCCTCACTATTACATGATATGATTGTTCACCTGTTGTTGGTTAAAAAGAGACTAGGACAGTACTAAGATTAATTTCGTGGATTTACCTACTTAAACCTTCTGAGGCTTTCTATAACATTATAGTTATCTCAAACCAGCCTCGGTTTGTTGTACAACTATTATCTAATGGTTCAAGCACACATAATAAGAAGTGCATGCGCCTAACAATTATTATTAGAAATCACGTGTATTTGGAACGGAGAAGTTACACATAGATTCTTTTTGCTTCCAAAAGCTAACATTAAAATGATTGTCTGTGAAGAGTTTCCTAGGCTTATATGAGCTGAAAGTACAGATCTCAAATAGAATTTCAGTTGCCAAGAGTTGCTGTTTGGGTTGATATGGGTTGCAAATAAGTAGAACAAAATGGACTTTTCAACAAACTAGGTTATTAGATAAAAGTTGGTTCAGAACGCAATTCGTCAGTTCTTATTATATTAGATACTCATTATGTCTAATATTAGGACGTTTGAAGCTTTATGGTAGGATTTTGTACTTACAGTTATTTCTTTTTCCTCTTTTGTGCATCTGTGGTTATCGAATCATAGGATTTACAAGTTGCATGTAGAAGACTAAATAATATGAGGCAAAGGAAACATAGTTTTTTTTTTTTTTTTTTAACAGTTGCGGTTGAATCTTTCTCAGGAACGGAATTGAAGATTTTGAGTTATAATGTTTGTTTCCGAGAAGACTTGGAAATTCATAAGAGGATGAAAGCTGTGGGTGACCTTATTCAGATGCATTCCCCTGATCTGATATGCTTCCAGGTTTTCCTCATTTCCATTTTTCATACCATGTAACATAAATACTAATGCTTTTATGAATTTTCATTGTTTTAAAAGTTCATTTTTCTCTGCAGGAGGTTACTTTCAAAATCTATGACATTTTTCAACAATCCAGCTGGTGGAAATTGTACCGTTGCTCAGTTTCAAGTGTGATGGCATATACAAAACCATCCTTCTGCATGCAGGTGAGATTGTTATCAGGGTTTATTTTTTATTTCTAGTTCGGGTCAACTGCATTGATGCTGTAGCCATGTAGGCATTTGTCCAACACAAACCATTTCATACAAACTGGGTTATGATTTGACAGTATGATATGTTCTTACGTATCAAAGGCATCTTAGAATGTGTTTGTTGAACATGCTTGTACTGTTTAAGGCACTGTCCAATTTGTTACAAATTGAACTTGCTTTTTGTGTTGTACACATCACCGATTTAAGTGTATTTGTTACCTAGCTGCTAAGGAAATTGACCCATCCCAGCAACTGTATGCATCTAGCTGATCAATTATAAAAATATTAAGAATTGTTGAGTATCCATACCATGTGAAATTGGCTTTGAAAGTCAAGAATAGAGGCTGCAGATTTGGGCTAGAGATCTTATGGAGTTTTTCAACCTAGTTGTCCTATTGTAGGGTGGCGGTGTTGATGGCTTGCCATTTATTTTGGTGGTTGGTTGTTGGTAGGCAAGTGTTGATTGTTAGCTCTCCCGTTTGTGTATAAATAGGGAAAGCTGTGAGCTAAGTTTATATAACAAGAGAGTGAAGAAAAGAGAGTGGTGAAAAATGTATGTGAGCTGTGAGTTAAGTTGAGAGAGTGAGAGACTCCTCCTCCTCTGTTTTGTTTTTGTTTTTGTTCATAGTAAAAGCTTTCTCTCTTTCTCTCCTGTGGACGTGGACATAGGTATTGGGCGAACCACGTAAATATTTGTGTCTTATAGTTTTGTTGATTATTTTCTGGGTACAGTATAGATGTCCAAAATTTCCAAAATCTTCCTCTATTTGAACATTATAAAAATTTTCATATTCTGACAAGTAACTTGTGATTCAACAAATTTGCAAGGCTGGTCATCTCTCTCTCTCTATCTCTCTCTCTCTCTCTCTCTCTCATGGTTATACATCATTTGCCTCATTTTATTTATTTATTTATTAAAATCTCTGGATGAGTTTTTGTAGTTAATAGTGATGTAAGATCTGATGCCGTAACACCACATAACTTGCAGTTAAGTAAACTACCAGTAAATTCATACAGCCGTAAACCATTCAGTAATTCCACAATGGATAGAGAACTTTGCGTTGCTGAGGTTGAAGTTCAGGCAGACATGCCATTGGTTGTTGCCACTAGCCATCTTAAAGGTCCTGGTCCTGGCCCTCGCAATTGGGATCAGTCGTTCAGCAAGGAACGTGTTGATCAGGCAAAGGAAGCGCTGACCTTTCTTAAAAAAAATGTAAACGTGATTTTTTGTGGTGACATGAATTGGGATGACGATTTGGATGGTCAATTTCCTTTGCTCAATGGATGGGTTGATGCCTGGGTGCAGTTAAAGCCAAGAGAAAATGGATGGACATATGATACCAAATCCAACAAGATGCTTAATGATGATTGGCCTGTGCAAAAGCGACTTGATCGATTTGTATGCAATTTGCGTGATTTCAAGATAAGAGGAATAGACATGATTGGCATGGAGGCAATACCAGGTCTATCATATTGGAAGAAAGGGAAAAACAATGTGGACAAACGGCCCGTGTTTCCTAGTGATCATTATGGGTTGCTATTAACAATCTGTGCCAAGTAATGCTAGTTAAGTGGCCATATCTAAGCAGGCAAGCAGAGTGCTGATTGTGTTTTTGTGCTCTTCAATGGTATCATGCTTGATATGTACTTGTTTTTATAGATAATAGATGGAGTGATATTAAGAGGGTTTATAACCTTTTGTGGAGAATTGTTTTCTATATTTTTTAAGAAACTACTTCTATGGAATGCTGGATTGTTTTTTTAGTTTTTGGTCTGTCATCCCTAGCATCAAACTGAATGTATTATCTACATTTTGCTCATATACTTTCAAAGAATTTCTTATTTTGGGTTGCCTCAAAATGTCAGCTACTTGATTAGATAGAGGGGAACTGAATTTCAGAACACTTGACAATCACATGCCAGGGTGCAGGTTAGTTTTGAGAGACAATGTCTTTAGAAACTGTTGATATATAGAACACATTTAGATCACAAAAAATATTAAACAGTTCATTGAACTGAATTTTGATTATCTCATCAAGCTAGCCTTTTGAATTTAGAGGCAAAAACTGATAATATCTTGGTGCTAACCTGCAGTCGTTTGTAATTTGTTGTTTGTACATGTCGAATGCTTAAGACAAATTGCAGTTAATCTTGAATCCAAGAACTGTACCTGAAGTTATCCATCCATGGACTCGACTATCTTCGTTGTCCATTGTGAATTTTGATACTTTCATTGACCTGCACTAATCCAATCCACATACCAGGCAGGCAAGTTCCCTGTAAGTTTGTGGAACTTGTTGAAAATTAAGCTTTTAATGCATCCATGTTTATACACACAGTAATGTTATATTACACATTTTGGATAAAACTCACTTCGCTTGTGAGATATGGATTTGTAGGGTTTATGAGTGAAACTGATTCAGGTATAATTAGCTGTTTGATTCTACCTGGGAGTAGATCCTCTGGAATTTGCATTACCATTTGCTTTTCATCCATAATTGCCGTACGGTGGAACATGCTTTAGTATTTTGGTGTCAATAAACATTTAAAATTCTAAATGAGTTATGAAAATCACTTGAGACTTCTTATTTTTACACTGACAAAAAGGTTTTAAGTCACAATGCTTGACCTCAAATACGATCTTTTAGGAATTCTGAATTTGCTATGATTATTTGCAAATGTTTTTCCTAATTGGTTCTTAAGAAACCATCAATAGACTCAAAAATCTCCGTGTCAACGGGTATTGCAACTAGGAATCACTTAAATAGGAAGTATGGAATCACATCTCAAAGCAGATTTGGCTTGCGATGTTCCAAAAACTCCATACATGATCTGATGAGAGAGAGAGAGAGAGAGAGAGAGAGAGAGTTTTTCTTCTCTGTTCTAGGTAATCAAAGCATTCTTCTTGCCATAACATAAATGGATTTCCTCCTCTGTTTTCACAGCACAGAGAAACTGATTAGTTGGACTGGGTGAGGTATTGAAGAGCTTTGGTTAAAGAACTGGTTTGTTGGTTACTTGTATGAGCATTAGAAGAAGCATTGGCAACCAAATTCTATATTCTTTATCATGTCTTACAGTTACTATTTACTAGTTTAAACATGTTTTTGTAATTCTTGTTTGAGTCACCCATATATTGGAGTTCTATGCCAACAAAGTTCCCTAACGCTGTGTTTGGTTGGAGGATTTGAGAAGAGATTTGGAAAGGGAAAGGGAAAAGTTAGGTGAAATGTAAATAAAATATACCTACATTTCACCTCGTTTCACACATCTTTTCTATTTTCCTTTCCAAATCCCTCCCCAAATCCCCCAACCAAACACAGCATAAATATATATCATGTATATGATATCCTTTCCACCTAATATTGTTTTTGACTATACTTTTCTCTGCCAAAGAAGATTTTTCAAATGGCATACCACAAGAGTGGAATGGAAGGCTTCATTGAGAGGATTTATGGAGTTCTCTTTTTTCTGTTGCCCATCTTTAATTTGACTAGGGCTTGTGCTTCTTTATACTACTTGCATATCTCTGTTCTAATGTATAGGTCTAAATGTCACAGTGCCAAGGCAACTATATTGTTACATTGACAAACAATCCTCTGAATCTTGAGGTCCGTGTGATTGCTGTCAACATGTCAGAAAAGCAATCTTCACTTCAAGTCATATGCCGCTGCTGCAACAATGGAAACATGTTATGGGATTTCAGTTCTAGTTATATCCTTAAGCGGGGAACGTGTAGGTCAGGCGAAGCAGGCTCTTAACCACCTTAATGATTCTACAACCTGAATGACTTCAAATTGAAGCAAATTGAGATGATTGGAAAGGAGACAATACAGGGGGCTGTCATATTGCAAGGTGAAGAAAGAAAGAAGATTCAGAGTTTGGAGCTTCCTGTTTTGTCTAGTGATAACTATGGCCTACTCTTAGAGGTTCAAAGCCAGTAAAAACTAGTAGAAACCAGAGTATGGTTTGGCAATGTGTGGTATATATATGTGTTGCATTATTAAGTGGAATATGATCTTAATTATGTTGTGGGTATTGTATATAATTATAATTATGTTGTAACATCCCAAACCACGTAACCAATGTAACAATGTTCATCATTGGACTTTGTGTCATGTTGAGTTGTAATTGTGTTGTGTTAGAATTATCGCAACACTAACTTAATTCGTTTATTATTTCATATTATCATATTGTGTCATTTTTTACCCGTGTTCGGAGTCAATTTTTTTTTCTTACGACTACGGTTACTTCTCTTAACTTTTTTGGGTACGGTTAGACCATCTCCAACGCTTCACCAAACTTTGCATCAGATTTGAAATTTGGTAAAAAAGTCACTTTTTGCAGCTCCAATGGTTTCATAAAATTGGTATCAAAACAAGAATTCACCAAATTTTTCATCAAAGTGAGAACAGGGAGAAGATTTCACCAATTTACTGTGCGTAACCGTTGGGGGAGACCAACCGGTCAACCAGCCAGTTGACCAACCAGTCGACCGACTCCCTTGCAAATAGGTTGGTTCAAACAGGTCAAAAGGTTCAAAGAAGTTTAAAAAAAAAAATACACTAACCAGTCGACCCCTGCTTTGATGACAACCATTGGAGCAGTCTGTATTCGATTGAGAAAATGGTCTTTTTTTGGCTCAAATTTGGTGAAAAATTTGGTGAACCGTTGGAGATACTCTTACTTCTCTTAACTTGAGCTTGCCTCAAGTCTATAAACAAATTTCTAAGAAGAAAGTTTAATTAGCGTAAAAAGATGTTAAAACAATATATGTATTTAAAACTTTCAATGTTTTTATTTAGACAAATTACATATACCTCCCTCGAGATTTAGCTAAATTACAAATATCTCCTAAGGTTTCGAAAATTACAGATACCCCCTGAGGTTTATATTTTCATAACAAATTGCCTCACGAGGTTTATATTTTCATAACAATTTGCCCCCTAATTTGTTATGCAAATAGTACCTTCATGGGGGTATCTATAATTTCTCAAATCCCAAGGGGGTATCTGTAATTTTGCTAAACCTCGAGAGGTATATGTAATTTGCCCTTTTTATTTTCAAACCTATAAAAGAAATGAAAATATCTAAAATAAAGTACACCAAAAAAAATTTGAATGACACCATTGTCAAAAATTTCTATGATTGGAAAATGTATATATTCTTCTCTCTATCTCATTTATATATATATATATATATATATATTTTCAATTTTTTCGTTTTTAGCATTTTTTAATAAATTGTGTTAACATTTTGTACTTTTCCGGTCCGTTTAGTGCAAAAGAATCTACACAGTTTTAGTGCAAAAGAATTTAAACAGTAAAAAAAATTGAAAAAAAAGTTAACTAAATACAAACAAAAATAAGTCAAAAAGTCAACTTATTTAGGGTTTTTTTTTAATGAATTTTTTTTCAAAATTTTTAATATTTTTTAACTTTTTAGCTTTGTCTAGTCAAGCAAAATTTATAAGTGTAATAAAGTTTTATAAAACATCTGAACAAAAACAAAAAGGATAAACCCCAAATATAGATGTTGTTTGATATGATGTTAAACACCCATGTTGAATAATCAAAAAACCACAACAATTGGAAATTGCGGTGAGCGTGGATCGAACACGCGACCTTCAGATCTTCAGTCTGACGCTCTCCCAACTGAGCTATCCCCGCCTCATACATTGAAAGTGTGTTACACATAAATTTAACATATTATGAATAGTATGTCTACTTCTTTTCCCCCATTTTTTTGGGATAAATAAATCCTAATAAAATCACTGCTAAAATTAAATTTTTTTCTAATAATTTTTTGCATATGTCGATAAAAAATGATAATTAGTGAATTTTTATGGTCACGATTTTTATAAATTGTCACTAAAAATTACAATTAATGATATTTTTCTATAACGAATTTTTCAAATTATCATTGAAAGTTGAAAGTTAGTGACTTTTTTATAACGATTTTTTTAAATTGTCGCTAAAACTTATAACTAATGATATTTTTTGTGACAAAATTTTCAAACTAACGTTAAAAATTAACAATTAGTTACGTTTTTTAATAGTGTTTAATAAAAAATATCATTAATTATCATAAAACCTATTAGACAATAAATTCACCTATTAAAATATACATAAAGTCTCATTTTTTTTTTAGGTACAATGGAAGTTACAACAAAAGAAAAGGAGGGTTATTCCCTCTCATAAACAACTCCTAGCATGTCAGCTATAAGCTTCTCATTTGGGCAGAAGGGTTTTCATTAACCACAAGGTTATCATTTTGGTCTACTCTGAACTTAGCTAATGCATCAGTATACTGATTTTTTTATGTCTTATTAATGTCAACTTGATTGGCAATTGTTTACCTTCCATTCAATTTTATTTATTTGTTTCTAAGAAAGGAACCTAAATGCTTGGTTGAATCCTTGGCACCATGGCTGAGAAGTCAGTCAAAAGCTAAGTACATATGCATTGTTTTTTTTTTTATTTAATTTTAATACACGCGCACCGATTAAAATAGATTTTGTTAAATTTATCCGCATTGAGAAGGATTATAAAAAGGGAAAAAAAGTAAATAATAAAAATGACAAATTATACTTAGCAGCTCTGTATTTTACACACAATCTCACTTTGTCTCATTACATTTAAAAAGTGACAGTTAACACCTTATAAGACTAAGTTACAATTCAACATATCTGTTAATCCATGTCAAATTAGGCAAACGGAAAAATAACATGTGAAATTCACATGGTCACTTTCAGGAAAATATAATGAAGGGAAAATTATACTTAGTACCTTATATTTTACATCCAGTCTCATTTAACCTTTAAAAAGTGACAATAATCACCTCAAATACTTTTAGGTAAGTTCCAATCCAACCTATTTATTAACCCACATTAAATAAGACAAACAGAAAGGTAGGCGCCTTATTTAACGTGGGTCAACAAATATGAGTTCGATTGAAACTTGACTAAAGTGTGAAGTGTTAACTGTCACTTTTTAAAGATCAGGGGGTAAAGTGAGACTGATACAAAATGTAGAGGTACTAAGTTTAATTAGTTCTAAATAAAAAATAAAAAATTCACTACGTTAGATCGTGTCCAAAATTAATTTGAATATAGTGGTACTTCTAAATTTCTAGAGAGAAGTTTGAAGTTGAACTTATAGAGAAACGTTAAATATTTGGTTGAAAATCACCTAGAGTTTTTTATTCAAATTCAACTTTCAAGTAGAGATTTCTTTTTGACGGATTTTTTGATCTAAGCTTTTAGTGGGTTTTGAGGATTGTATCAACGTTGTGGATTTGACAGTCGGTGGAAAAATATCTTGATGAAGATGGTATTAGAAACAACACTAGTTAGATTCAATAAAGCACAGATTCCCTAGTAGATTGGGTGAGAACTCGTGTAATTTTCCATGCCTTCAGAGTCGGTTGATTCCCCTAGGATTTTTTTTTAATCATAATTAGATGTCTTTCAATTATAATTTTTTCATGTTAAATTGTTTCTCTCTATTTGCAAATAGATCTAATTTGATCCTCTCTAGATTAGATTACATCTATGTCTGATTGTTGAAAATTGTTTTTGATTAGTTGCTGGTATCGATTGAGTTGAATTACAAGTATAAATCAATATCTTGGAATAGTAATTTTTCATGTATCATTTAAAAATTTAGGAAAAATTATAGTCCAGTTGATATTTTCAAAAATAATTACAAATAAGTGATAAATTTTTTTATGATTTTGTATAATATTTTTCCTGTTACCACTGAAAATTAATATATCCAAAAATTTAAGTACAGTTTAAAATAGATTGGAATTTAAAGAGAAAATTGCTGAAAAATTCAATTTGGAGAGTGTCTAAGGCATTAGATCCAATAAATATTTTTTATCGGTGAAAAGTCCATCCTTTGTGAAATAGTTTGATGAAAAATCATTTTTATTGTTTTGGATGACATTTTGTTTCTACTTTTATCTCTTAATTTATCTATTGACTTTTTTTTTTACTATCTGTTCAAATTTATATCTACATGTTCAAATTTTTTTTTTATTTGTTCAAATTTATATCCATTTGTTCAAATAGCAAAATAATAAAATAAATAAATAAATAAGGCTAAAAAAGGCTATCCCAATCGAGCATAGGCTCCATTTGGTGTAGTTGTTAAAACAGATTATAGATTATAGCTTAATATATTATAAATTATGACTTTAATTAGAAACTGTTAATCTATTTGGTGTAGTTGTTGGATTATAGATTTAAGTTGCTGAGTAGTGTTTGCTAAATAAGTTATGAAGTAACTTTTTCAATTAACTTTTATTTTTTGTTATTCACTATTTGTATATGTTTCTCATAAAAAATAATAATAATAATCTATAGTCTATTTGAGTCTTTTTCTATTTTTAAAACAATAAAAAATCTAAGAGTATAACCGTAAATTAACATGTTCACAGCAGAAGCTAATAAGCAGAAACAATGGGTGAGCAACTTCTCAGAATCAACATTTTTGTATTAAAATAAGTTTTTTGAATCAGAAACTATTTGAAATAAGTTTAACTAAACAGTCCAAAATAATTTTTCTAAAATTAAAAATTATAAGTTGGCTCAAAAAAAATCCAAATAAACACCCCATAGTGTCTTACAATAAGGAAAGGTATAAAGTAATATATTTTTTATTTGTTTATATTATAAATATACATATAAGCAGACCTCACTTTTTCATAACACACTTTAGCATAAATTATACTACAAGAGCATAAGCTAACTCTCTAAATTAACAAACATTAATCCAGTCTCATTTTCTACACATTTTGTTATCAACAATGATTCATACCACTAAAAAAAAAGATTACTAATAGCACTGATGTATTGGGAATGCCAAAAAAAAAAAAAAAAAAGAGTCTACTGTCACATCATTAGTGGTGCTATTAGAGCACCACTTTTAGTGCTCTCAACTATTTTTCTTTTGTTATATAACCCACTCTAACACAATTTTTTTTTAACTAATCCATTAGAGATGCTCTTGTCACGTCCCAAGCTCCGTGACAACGCCGCACACTCACTACTTTATCCAAAAATAATTCTACACATAAAAATTTGGATTTTACAGCTCTAATGCCACCTTATATTTTTGGAGG